TTTTTTTTTTTTTTTTTTTTTTATACATGACAGGCAAATGACTCCACTCCACCTGATGTTAAGTGGAAAGTGGTATCCAAACGCGAAGGAACCTAGTGCAGCGATGGAATCCTCACTGCACTAGCCACCTCCACCCTGCCTGCCTACAATATGCCTCTTCACGCCTCGTTTGAAGGACCCCATATCATAAGAGGGAGGGAAGACATGTGCCGGAAGGGAGTTCCATTTGTCAACCGTGCGGCAGAGAAAGGAGCCACCGAACCTTTTAGTACGCGATGGAATTCGGCAGGTAGTGAAACGGTGACTACGAAGGCCAGCACGCGTGGTTCTGAGCAGGAACGGGGAAGGGGGGATGAGGTTAAACAGCTCTTCAGAGCACTCACCATGGTACATGCGGTAAAAGGCGCTAAGCGATGCAACATCTCTACGCAGTTGCAGAGGTTCAAGGCGTGATGAGACCTCTTCGTCGCCTATGATTCGAGTAGCACGACGCTGTAATTTATCCAAGGCATCGAGTAAGTACTTGGCGGAGCCGTCCCACAAGTGCGAACAATACTCAACGCAAGACCGGACCTGTGTTTTGTACAGCAGGCATAACTGGTCCGGCGTGAAAAAACGTCGCACCTTGTTCAGGACTCCGAGTTTCCGTGAGGCTGTTTTGATCACAGATTCGATGTAGCTCCTTGGATTCAAATCACAGCAGATTTCCATACCGAGCAAGGTGAAACTGCTCTGAGGTGAAAGTACTGTGCTCATCAGAGAAGGCATGGGAAGGAACGGCGACAATTTTGTTGTTAACGCGCAAACCTGTGTTTTCTTGGCGTTGAACTCAACAAGATTACTGGATCCCCATGCAGATATGAGGTCCAATATCCTATTGAGCTCAACGACAAGATCAGATCGCTCTCTGTCAGTATCGGCGCGCCCAGCTGCGGGGAATCCATGATATCCCCCATGAACAGTGCTATCATCTGCATAACAATGAATATTCCCAAGTGGAAGCATATCATTGATATGCAGAAGGAAAAGCGTGGGAGATAGGACGGATCCCTGCGGTACGCCGGCGTTCACATTCACGAACCTCGAAATGCTGCCGTCAGAAACGACGCGAATTCTCCGCTCACGAAGGAAATCGGCAATCCAGCTGCATAACTGGGCTGGCAAACCGTACGCCGGGAGCTTGGAGAGAAGAGCTTTGTGCCAGACCCGATCGAACGCTTTGGCTATATCGAGGCTAACAGCCAACGACTCGCCACGTTTGTCTATAGCCTCACCCCAAATATGCGATAAGTACGCTAGAAGGTCACCCGTTGATCGTTTCGGACGAAACCCATACTGCCGATCATTAATTATGGAGTGATCTTCTAGGTATTGGGTCAGTTGTTTGTTAAGGATCCGCTCTAAAACCTTGCATATTATGGAAGTAATGGCTATGGGACGGTAATTATGCGGGTCTGATCGGTCGCCTTTTTTGGGAACTGGTTGCACATTAGCCTCTCTCCAAGAGTCCGGCACACGACCTGAAGAGAGCGACAGACGATACAGTCGCGTTAGCACGGGGGTCAACTCAGCTGCGCAGTTCCTAAGTACAATCGCTGGGATACCATCAGGACCACTAGCTTTCCGGACGTCGAGAGACTGCAGCTGCGTACGCACATCGCATTGTCTGATACGAATATCAGACATCGTGTAGCCACAGTGAGGTAGAGTTGGTGGCTGTGCGTTACAGTCGTCGAGACAGGAGTTAGCCGCAAACAGATTTGCCAAGAGGTCGGCTTTATCTTGCGGCTTGTGGGCTAGATTGCCGTCAGAATATCTCAGCGGTGGCAGCGAGGGCTGGCAGAAGTTCGACGCAACGGCTCTGGCCAGACGCCAGTAACTACGACTACCAGTGGGATGCGTCAGGAGTTCTTGGCCAACTCGTGCGACGCGCTGAGCATCCGCTCTGATGTACGCTCTTTTGCAAGACCTGGTGGCATTATTGTAGGCTGTTTTAAGTGAGTTCGTATTGGGATCGTCTGAAGCTAGACCCCTGATCCAAGCGCGGTATGCAGTCTGTTTGTTCTCAACAGCCACAGCACACTCACGGTTGAACCAGCGGTTGCGCCTCCCTTTACTGACGAGATCCGAATGCGGGATGTAGTATTCCATCCCGATTAAGATCTCATCAGCAACGGCAGTCGCGCTAGCTGTTGGATCCACCTCACTAAAACAGCGCTGCCGCCAGGGAACGGATGCAAAATAGTCCCGCATACCGTCCCAATCTGCCGACGCATAATGCCAAATGCGGCGTTTAGCCACAGTAGGTGGTGGTGGCAGTAACGTTGCCACTTTAGTGGATATCAAGCAGTGATCCGAAGTGCCCAGAGGGGCTTGGACCTCCACCCGATATCCAGCCGGGCGAGACGTCAGCAGAAGGTCCAACAAAGAGGGCGCGTCACCAACCCTATCTGGAATCCGGGTGGGCTGGTTTACCAGTTGGGTTAAATCGTGTGTGAGAGCGAATGTGTGGGCAGTTCTTCCAGCATGGTCAGTTTTAGAGGAACTTAACCACGACTCGTGGTGAGCATTGAAGTCCCCTAAAAACACCAATTCCGCTGTAGGAAACTGCGCCTGCGCGTCATCTGCCGCCCGAGTAAGGTGGTCTATGAGACGAGTTGTCTCCATGTCGCCGTGGTGGGATCTGTAGAGGCACATGTAGACACGGCAATGACTGCCCAGGTCAACATGTACCCCAAGGATGGAGAAGGAGGGGTCCTCCAAATGACGCAGACGGCGACAGCAAACATCTGCCCGGACAAACAAGCAGACCCCAGCTTTCGCTTTGAAGGACTCTTCAAGCATATAGCCAGGGTAATTCAAGTAGCTGCTGTCAGCCGGGCAGAGTATTTGCGTCTCCGTAAGGAACAGCATTTCTGGTCGAGCCGTCTCAAGATGTTGGTGGACGGCGTGGATGTTACTGTGGAGTCCTCGAATGTTCGTGAACTCCACCTTAAAGAGCGCTTTAGTGGTGGGGGTGTGCACCGCTGTACGACCAAAATTTGTACTTTGCGCTAACATGTTGGAGGGAAAAAGAGGCGTGAAGCGAGAAAACAGTGCCGCGACACAAGCGGTCAAATCGCGGGGCCTGCTTCCCCAGAGACTTGCCTACAGACAAGTTGCGCTGATCCGCCGGACGGAAGGGCCCCCGAACCCCCCCGGGAATGGCCGCCGGGACCCCACCTCCCGGTCACCAACCGGCACGACGAACCACACCGAGATTATGCGCGGCATGGTGAGGCAGCCTCACGAGCTGGTTAAGCACGCTTGGGCCCCTGTACTGTACCGCGGGCGGCCAGCGGAACAACCGTTTCTACGGGTCTCCCTGGCCGGCGGGTCAATGCAGTTGTCCTGGCACTGGTTCGGCGGAAGCCTCCACAGACCACAAATGTCGCGGCAGCGTTGCCTCGGGCTCTGGTTGTACGCTGACTGATCCCGGAACGCATCCGACTAGCGAACACTTGGCGGGTTTTCCATCATGCGCACGGTGGTCACTAACCAGGCAGGTTTTCAAGCCCTACCACCAGTGGAGCAGCTGGTTGCTCAATATCCCTTAGTCGCCTCTTACGACACCCACGGGAAGAGAGGGGCGGTGAATTGTATTCTAATCCGTCACCGCACGGTTAAAATTTGTGCCGAACCTATGCAAAATCAAGCAATATATGATGTGTAAGGGGTAACACGTACTTGTTGTACAACCGGAGAAGCTAAATTAGACACCAAAAAAAAAGTATTGCCCGTGTTGGAAGATATTAAAATAGAAATAAGTCGACGTGATAAACAAAAAAGTTTGAGCAAAAACTTACTTTATTGTGTATGAAAAACATATTATTACGACGTATCTACAAAAGCATCAAGCTAAAGTTAAACATCTACCTTAAAATTTTGTTCTATTTACGTTCACAATTATACACGATGTATTCATGACTTCGGTAGTCAGTAAATGATACAAAATAAAATTTATTTTGTAATTTTATTTTATGGAGGATTTTGGGGGAGACCTTTGCCCAGCAGTGGAACATAACAGGTTAATTAAAAAAATAGCTATCATAATTCTACTATTACTTTGTGTAAGACATTGATCCAGCGTTGCGACGATCTGAACCTATAGAGCGGTTACAGACACGCGTTTGTGGAACGCACGATTGCATCGCGACTTCAACGATTTACAGGCGGTTGCATCGATGCAATCGCGCGTTCTCTGTGATGCAGGTGCGACTGCATCGCGTTTAGATCGCGTTTACATTGTTGCCATTGCATCGTGTTTGCATCGCGTTTGTATCGCTGCTTAAATCGCGCGTTGTGTAGAGGTAGACGACACAGTAACCGCTCTTAATTAAAATCTTGAACTGGATTGTGACTACTACCGTAGACAACCTAAGTATCGTGAGACGTGCGTGCACCATAAGGCATAGCTACATAAGAATAATTTAAACTAAAGTGACGCATGCTCATTGGGAATCACATAATGTCTATTAGAGACGGAACAATAATGTTTACGACAGCTATAACCAATATAACATTGCTAGTGCAGTGACATATGGTTGCGTGTGAAACTCGTGATTTGCTTAAGACATAAATTGTATGAAATGAAGCTAGGCTTAGTTTATACCTTTATCGTTATTAAGATAAGTAATGTTAACTGCATATTAAATTGGATTGTCGTCATACCCGTTTATGTGATGCTACTGAGAATTGTTTCTAATTATTATATTATCAAGTGTCTTGAAAATTTCGAGTTTCGTCAATTTTTTGACATTTTTGAGACTCGAGACTCACATTTTCAGTATCGGGAATATCGAGTCTTGAAACTTAAGTCCCTGAATTAAAAATCTACTTATACCAACAGTCATTTTTTATTCTGGTTACATGGAAATGACAACACTGTATAGTAGAGCTTAGTATAGTCTATGGAGATTGAAGAACGGTAGTAACGAAATAAGGCCTCTATCTGAAACTGTAATAAACGTTTTATTATTTCTTACGTGGCGTGGGAATACGTAAGAAATAAAGAACGCCGTACTATGAAAATGAAAAACCTTTCATAAATAATTTTTCATTTTATAATTTGTGTTAATAAAGAACTTAATTAAAATATCGTCTGCTTAAAGGTAAAACCACATACGTGACATTTTTCACAAAAAGTCTTTGATAGGTAAGAAAATCATTATCTTTCTGCACGTGAAGCTCAATAACAAAAAAGCTATAAACCTAATAAGAGTTTTATCTGCAGAAAGATGGTGAATTTCTTACAGCTGGTACATAATTTGGAGATTGGTGTATAAATATCACTTATGTGGTTTTACTTTTAAGCAGACGATATCTTCTTTTGACTGTCTAACTTAAATACCTACTAGCACGTCGAAGACGGTTCACAACCCTCGGAAAACGTGTGAAGTCCCCAACATAGGGCATAGGGCGGATTATAGCTATGGCCAAAACCCTGGCTTGAGAGGAGACCCGTGCCCAGCAGTGGCCGTATAAGTGAGTTGATGATGTACGTATGTATTCACCATTTCATTGCATTGCATATCAAACTCCACCCATCACCTAAAATCTTCCGAAGCTTTCGATCTAACCATACAAAGCAAATAACGTTTGCGGCAGTATGAACACCCGCCCTACAAATTCTGAGTGGCCCAGGAGCCGGCGGCCTGTCATTGTATGCAAAGCTCGTTCGCTTCCGAGCAGGTGACGAGTTTGTTTACATTCTAACTCCCCCGGTAGGTACTGAAGTGATGTCTCGCCTTCTATTGTATTAGCTATATACCACACACCACATTTTCCGTGATATACACACGTCCAGGAAAATGTAAATTGATATGTATTAAGCAGGAAGAATCTTTGTGATAAAACAATAGCTTGACATCTACACAGGTAAAACAGACGTATTTTTATATTGTAAGTATTTTTATTTTATAAGTAATAATAAGAAATTGAGATTTTTTGAGTTTTGAGTAATCATTTTTAATGGACTATTAGAATTCATAATGGTGTTACGTATAAGTACGACTTGTTGACTTGAAAGATGTTTATTTAAACGCATTCAGACAATGTAGTTTTATTTTTGACAAAATACTTTGGTTTATAGGTATTTAAACTAGTGCGTGCTTTTAGTTTCGCAAGTAATAAAAGTCTTACTTTGAACTATGTCGATTGTTTAACACTGTGTGTTACATATACAATTCATCTCACCGTATTGTTTACCATTGCACATTATTTCAACTCGTCTTATTATTTCGAGCCAGCGTGCGGTGCGGTGACGCGACACATGAATATGAAATGACTTCAATAGAGTTGTTGTCATACATCTACCTTTGATGGACAGTAGCTCTGTGGTAGCTCTCTTTGACAGTTACGCATTAATAACTCTTGTTTATTGTTCACGTGAAACCTTGAACCAGTGTATGGAATGTATGCTGGGATTACCATAGAAGGAAGTTTTTGCTCAGTAGAGAACTGATAGGTTGTTCTCGAGAAACTGAGCATTTATACATTTGCAGAAGTATTTCACTCTATGAAATGATGGTAATTGTATAAGACTTATTTATTGACAGCCGTTATTATAAAAAAATCCTCTTGTTCTTTTATTTTATCGATATATGCACGCGCGTGAGGGCCTTCACATTCGAGTCGCACGATTTGGGACCAAATGGTTTAGGGTTTTGAGGAGTAGGGTGGCCATGCTATCCTCCAAAACACATTATCGTGTGGCAGTACTAACTTAGCGTCAATGTGCAGGATCTTCATGTCCATAGCGTGCACCGTTGTGAAGACGTTGGTGGCGCCATGGACGACGCACTCACGCGTCTCGGGCATGGCAAGCGGCGTGCACACCGCCAAAAACACCGGCTCATTGCGGCTGCACAGCGGCAGATACGACACGTAGTGACCTCGGACTAGCACCACCTGAAGGAAAATTATCATTAAATAACTTACAAGACCCGAGAACATCAATGGATTTTATACACTGTAAATAGACATCCTGTAGCATTTACAGCCACCAGCAATCTAGGATGATCCCTGTGACATTTTTAAAAAATCTATACAACATAACCTTGTGAGGACGTGCACTTATTTACGTATGTCATAAATTTATTTAAAAGCGCGGCTTATAAACCTCGCTTTTAAATGAACAACCTTTGTTTAAGTAAATACATTAAATTAAAGTAAACATAACTCCAAATCAACGTTTATTTGCGAGAAATAAGCGGAAAAACATTTTCTTCAAAAATTCGTTATTTTTACAACAGCGTGCAAAGTTTATTTCATTAAACTGCATTTGCTAGAGATGAAGTTTATCGAGTTTTCGATAACTTAATGTATAAATGTATAGTGTAGGTATTCATTCAAAAGTCTGAATTTTAATCATAGGTAATGAATTAACATGTCAATATTATTACTTTTTGAAACCTATAAATTAATGATATGATAAATATTTATCGAGTTCTTAGGTTTTCGCGATTGTTACACATAGGAAATGAAACTATTTTTCTAGATTTATATCACGTATATTTGTTTTTTCAGACAAACCAACGTTTCGGGCTCGATACAGGTCCCATAGTCACGGTTGACTAGTTGTGTCAGAGGATTTAAATCCGTAAAAATGCTTTCATTTCCTATGATAAATAATTATTTTAATTTTCTAAAACAGCTATTTAAATTGCATTTGCAATATAGTTGTGTGTTTTAAGCCTTCAATATAACACAAAACAATTCACACATGTATACATCGCTCAGAATACGTCGGAAAAATAAAATCGTAAAAGAGACCTTTTTCCTTCAAAAACCAATTACACCAAAGATCTTTCGACTTTACCTCATCCCTATGGCAAACGTCAAATAAACTGTCACAGGGATCATCCTAGTTTACGTTTAGTATATTAATTACAATTATAACGAATTTGTAGTCAGTTACAGGAAAGATTATCCCTCGTTTTTGAAGACAACCACGGAGCGATAAGGTGTGATCACAAAATTGTGACAACAACGACGGGCTTCCAGTTTACCTCAACAATTTCTAAATATCATATTCTCATATTTACTAAGTAGTACAGGCTAATATGAATAGTTGGATAGTTGAATCCGGCTTGACACGCTTATCTGCCATAGTTTCAAACTAATGCTGCACTAAACAACACAGCTACCTTTAACCAATTAGACAATCTGATACAAGTGGAAGGCAATAATGAACTTGGTTCAAGTGAACCTACCTTGACTGCGCTGCAAAGTTTTTTAATCTATTTGACACTGTCTCTCGTCGACTCTGACCTGAAGAGCTGGAGTCTTTAAAAGCTTCAAAAGCGGCAAAGTAGGCGTGGCACTTTGACATTCTTTAAAGTTTTAACAACAATAGACAGATAAGAGTGTTCGACACAATAGTTCACAGTTCAACCGCTCACTGCGCCGGCGCAGAGCAATCTTCGATCCGGATCCATGCGGCCTTGGTCGATATATTTTATTGTATTGAACACTCTCGTATTCATAGTCTAGCGTTATTATGCTACTAACAAAAACAGTTTATTAAATTCTTATACTGTTATTTTTAAATAATACACGTAAAACCGAATAAATTTAGAATTGTTTAGTATTAAGCATAAATATCAGATTAATTTTCGTATTATTGGTACGTAGTAGAAGTATGTAGTCGATGTCACAAAATCAAGGATGTACAGAACAAAGGTCTACAAGGTCAAACAATAACTAACCTAATCCAAAGCGCAAAATGTGTCGGTTTGCCGCGGCAAAAACGCTCACTATGAATAGGACCGAAAACAATGAGCAATGCCTATGGAATAACGCAATGGAGTTGCATAAAAAGTTTAATCTACTTAACAAGATATATTTAAATGATGTCTGTAGCGAGTGTTGTAGGCCAGATTATATCGTGTCGTATAAATAGAGCACCAAAGGCATTATGACAACATTATTTGACAATTTTCTTATTCTATCAAATGACTAAGATGATTTAGAAAGTGCAGCAGAAATGCTACATCCAGGAAACATTACTTAAAGTGGATTAGTCCCGTTTCCCATTTTGCTTCCTCCCAAAACAGCACATGAAACTTGTTTTTTATATTTACTAAAAACCACAATAATACCTATAATTAGACAACCATAAATTAAAATATAACATATTTCGATACGTTTCCCGCGGAGATTTAAAAACGAGATTTGAACACTTGCGTCAACACGTCTCCGCCCACCCCGAGAACAAAATGTACCTACTCGTAATGACGATAGATTAACCGGATATGAAACGTTACATTACTGTATCAAACGAATAACCAATATACGCCCAAACATACAGCACACAATTGGAGTGTACGTCTCTTCGTCAAAAGAGGTAGCGGACCGATAAAGACTTAGTTACGAAAAAAAAATTGTTTAAGAGCTTTTGCTTTGCAACTTGTGCTACCTTATGCAACAATTTACAAAAGAAAAGCGGGAAATGAGAAATCTGTGATTCGATGGGTCCTATGTATTTGGGCTAAAGCGCAAAATCACAATTTTACAGGAGAGACTTCCAAACTTTCAATCTGGTAGGTATATTTTCAAAATTTCCTTGTATTTCGATTTCCTTGAATATGTTTGATTTTGTTTTAACATTACCTTATAGATTATAATGGAATGAAGCATTTCCCTCAAAAAGTGAAAATAATCAAATTGTTAGTTTGGCCCTTATACTTAGTACCCATCATGCTAGATGGATTAGTTAGGCCAGAATTTAATTCTCTGTTCTCACTAAATACACCGACAAAACTAATATAAAATTGATGACATTTTAATTAATTTATTAATTATTCGTATAGATTGTCAAGGACGTCACATAAAATAACATAAAGGATTTCGACACATAAAGCCTATAAAGGCACTGCAATGACTATAACTATTAAATATATAAATGCTTAAATATGTTAAAAGTAATATAAACATTTCAATTACAATAATTAAAATAAATATATTATATAATTTTATAATATACTACAATCGAGATGATTCATAAGACAGAATAAATAAGAACTAAAAGCAAAAAAGCATTTGAGCTATTGCTAACAATAATTAAAAAACTTTTAAATTAGACTGTCCGCCTAATCTGACTGCAGTCTCTGACAGTGCTGGGCGATCAATCGTGACTTATTATCTGTTGCGTACAGTCGAACCCGAATCCATCAGCCATAGAAACCTTGTCATGAGTGAGGTGAACAATGAACCACTTTCTAACCAAAAGATAAAACATTCAAATTGTCGTGACTGCTCGTGACCCGCCGTGTTGACTGACCAATGTAAACTAACCTCTGACTTCGTCGTCGACTGTCATGTTAAAGTGTCTCAGCTAGGCACTACAGAAGTCAAAACTGTCACAAAAGGTCAGATACGCTAGTTTCGATGTTAAATATGATAAAGGGTTAACGATATTTCAACTATTGCAACAAACAATATTTAACAATGTTTAACTTATAGTGAAAATGGTGGTTTTAATGATAACAGTTTACTTAAGTTAAAAAAAAAATATTGGTGTCGAAAAATGTCTCCCTGACTTCGAAGTATGCCTATCAATAAACAATTTCGTCACAACATATCGACTTAAAAACAAAAGTGTAAGAGAGTAAACTTATTTTTTTTTAAATAAGAAGTTTGCGTCTAAAAGTCTGGTCAGTAGAGTCACGCTCCGTCGAGTATAAGTCACGAAATGTTACGTCAGGACACACCTCTCGTGTGTTGAGGAGTTTTTTTTCTAAAGGTATCCTTTATAACGGTCGTGTAGTTTAGTGGCCCGCGCACGCGCCGGTTGATCACGACGTCAGGCTTTCCAACCGATAGATTGTCGTGTGCCTCGATCAGGGATTTTGTTTTTGCTGCTTATTTCATACTACAATTGAATCTCTTATTGTTGAAACATAGTTTCGTTTACTTATTAGAAAAACTTATCATTTTACTGAATGTCTACAGTATGTAATCTTAATATTATGTTTTCTATTATTTTTTGGCTTTTATTTTTATGCGTACTGTAACTGGGGCGTAGCTCGGATTGCGTAGCGAGAGGTACTTTTATGAATTTAAAGTGCTTTCACATACTTTCGGCGTTGGGTTACAATTCAATATCTCAAGATGCTCCATTCTTTTCCTTACTTCATTTTACAAAACATTCTAATTACAAAACTATTCATTCAGCCAGTGATTCTACTCATAGAATAGAGCCTAGACTACAGTACCTACATATTAATGCAGTTCTGTTATAAGTCGTATTGAAAAAAGGCCGACGTAAAAGCAGTAACGTGCAATTTGTATTTAACTTGTATCTATTTAATGTCACTTAAATATATATACGTACATATGTCACATAATAACAAACTATGCGCTACTTTCATTGGCTATATCTACTTACAATATAAACGCCAATGTTAAAAGCTCAAGAAATTCTCGTAAAAATAGCTGGAAACTATTTAATTTGCCAATCCTCGTAACACACGGTCACACGTTCTCACAATAACATACAGTATGCAAATATTACATCTTAATATAGAGAGCAGTGGCTCGCAGTTTTGTTATTACAATCAGATACATTTACATTTCATAAATAAATGCATCTCCGAGGTCGCTAACGACGCCACCGGCTGCAATCCACTGCGCACTGAGCGTTTTTGCCGCACATAAAGTGTATGAGTGGCTTAATTTAAATAACCCACGTTCCCTTAGAACGTCGTCGCATGGAGTGTGAATTTCAGATGTTCATGCTTCGAATTTACTTTATGTTGTTGCTATTCATGTGGCTTTCTAGTTTATTTATCTAGCTTATATTGTCACATGTAGTAAAGTTTTTAGAAATAGTTTGATTTCCGGGGTGTATAAGTATTTTTATCTTGTAAACTGAAACTCACTCAATGGCCAATAAAAATACTTTCTAC